ATGTATGATCTATAGAAAACCGAAAAATAAGTTATATCCATAATAAGTTATATCCATAATCGCCTCCGGAAGATATATTAATAATCTATGTGTCATTGCTATTTTTTAGATTTTTAGCTTTCATTATTTTCAGTTTATTTAGCACGAAATCAATTTTTTGTCTTTTTTAAGGAGAAACTTGCCATAACCATATTCAGCGAAAAAATTGCAAAATTTAATCCGGCTATGTCAGTAAAACATGTCATTGCAAAAAAAGTAATTTTATTAATAAGAATAAATTTCTGATTAATGTTTTTGATGAAATTGGTAATTGAAGCAGTTAAGCATCTGAAATTTCAGGAGACCTAAATTGCTGACGTCAACTAGACTAGTTCTATCTACGGCAGAAAAGAAATTTCATTTTGACAAATCCGAAATTTTTGTCAATTAATTAGACGAATTCTTTTAATGCAATAAACTGAATTTCGAGCCATTTGTTAAAATCCTTCCGCATTCTCAGTAAATTCGCTAGAAAAACTGATAACGGCCTGGTCCATCGACCTTGGTCGAGCCAGTATATATCACTCGTCTTTATCTTTAAAAAGTCTCTGAAAATGATTTTCTATTTTTTTTTCCTTCGCCTCGTTACACGTTTGTTAATATTGTAAAATGTGATAAATGTTGAAATGAAAATGGCAAATAAGTCACAGAAATCAAATATGATCAAATAATCAAATAGAGAATATCTTATATCTTATATTTATTACTATGCCAACATAAAAAAGCCGAAATTTCAAGCTAAAAATATGATTATGAAAGGTAGATAAAATTTTAAAATTTTGCAAAAAAGTATATTTTATGGACAAAACAAGAAATTTTTGAAATTTGCCATCTCCAAATGTCGAGAAGCACAATAGCCAAATGGCAATCATACTAGTAGCCAGCAAAGTCAGTCTAGCTCGAGTTGTTCTGACCATTTTTTATTTTACTAACTCCAAGAATCTTTCATTACAGTGTAAGAATGAGTAGTATAATATGAAGGTGTCAGATATTTAGGTAAAAATTTAGATATCAATGGCTAATGAAGGAAATTCTTTAAAAAGACATTAAATCAGTTCAATTAGATAAACTGATATTGTGTGGAAATTTTTTATAGTTTCAGTGAACTTATATTTATAAATATATTTATTTTAAGGCTTCTCATTTCATTTCAGATTTCCTTTATGAATTTTAAAATATGTCGAAAATAAAACTGGAAGCATTTAAACAATCATAGTCTATAAATTAATAAAAGACAGTCGTATTTTTTAGAATGGGTAAGAAGAAAAAAAGTTATTTGTTCCCTGCAAGCATTATGTTACGAGCCTAATTGTTTCTTCAGCGCCATAAGACTGAGTACTCGACTACATCTGCATTCCTATATGTAATGGTTCACTGAGGATGTAAGTGCAGCCAGCCAAACAGAGGTGGCGTGTGTTGGAGGAATGTAAATCATGGGAAGGCAGAAGGACTTATTGGAAATAAATTCTTTGAGGATTCTTTACTGTTGTATTTGTTGTCCAAAAGAAAAAGCGACAAATTCAAAATTGCTAAACTCAGATGAAATTTAATCAAATTTCAATAGTTTCATCGCCGCAATCTATCATTTTTTCTTTTTTATTAATTTTTTTACATTTTTAGCATTTTTTTTCTTAATTTTTTTGCTTTTCATTAATTTTTCCAACCATTACATCCTTATTTTTACTTTTACTTGGTTGCAAAAGATTGCAGTGAGATTCAAAATGAATATGTGACGATGAAGAAGATTTTATGGCATCAACTTGTAAATTTTCAAATGATATTTAATAAAACTAATTCTATTTTATATATTATTTTATATTTTAATGAAAATCATAAGATGAAATAAAATCAAATCAAAATGAAATCATAAAAATCATCGAGTCACGGAACATCAATTTGAGATTTGAGTTAGACAAAAAAATCTTTGAAAAGCTGTTAGGTGAAATGTTTTAATCTTAGAAAAATGAACAAATGAAATCGACTTGTTGTGTTAACCTATAAATTATCATTCGGTCCCATGAGTGAAAATTTCACTGTCATAAATTCTTTCGCCCTTCGTATCGCACACTCTCTGGCTTAGTCTGCAAATTCTGCCAAAGACAGACGATTTGTTAATCCATACATTGACGCTTTTGTCATAATCCATTCGTAAAGATAGGAAATTTGCAAGGAAATTTGAAATTGCATTTATAGATAATATAATTATAAATATGTAAAATATATAGATACCAACAAATAATCAATTTTTTATCTAAATAAGTGAAAATAGAAAAATTAGATTAAAATCAAGTTGAATTTAAAATTGACAAGATTCATATTGCTAGACGAAGAATTTATGATAGAACTATACAAAAAAACTTGTGTTTGTTGAATAAATAAACTCGATTAATCCTAGATTTTGGGTTCTTTTCCGGGAATTGACTTTTTCGAATCCTCACCATTACTGGTTAAAGTCGTTCCATTGGGCAATATGCAGGAACTCGCTTAGCGATAGAACTACAGGTGAGTCGCCAGCATCATCCCGGGTTTTTGCACAGTTTTATTGCTGTAGGCAATCGAACTTCACCATCGAGGCTCCCAATTGAGCAAGGACCCATTGAGCCATTCTATCCCCAACAATGGGGAATTTATACTTACCAACATGTACTGAATCTCAGTCCTCATACACAATGAAATCTGTATCTTATGTGCGAATCGCAACTATTTCAATAAACATTTGTAGGTAAGTAGCAAATGTTCTTAATTATCACATTTAGCAGGAATTCCATTATTCTGATCAGGAAATTTTATTGCTATTCAAAACTTAATGCAGATATAAAGTTGAGATATTCGCCTTTAATAAAATCTTTATATTTGAATTTGCGGTGCAGTCTACCGAATCCAATATACTGTTGCTGATATCCTTTATTAAACATTCATTCATTTTCAAATCAATCAAATTTGCAAAAATTTTATCCTTTATACTTTTCTATAAAATTGTTGGCAAGATGAGTAAATTGCTAAAATATATACTATAATATAATATAAATTTTCTATAAAGAGAAAAATTTTTTCACAAGGGGGCTTGTTTCGGGATATGCCAAGCCTTGGTATTTAGTGCTGGCTGTAAATCTTCTACTCGTCCTAGTCTTTTTCGTCTGAATCGTTGATTGAACTAAAGTACTGAGTCCATTATGAAACAATTTTGTGGTATAACTTATTGCCAGATAATCATAACGGCATTTTAGTGATAATAAGTAAGAATAAATAAAGCGAAACTCTCGTTTGTGGTTTTAAAATTCTGAAATTTGTTTCGTTTTTTTGTATGTATATAATCCTTAAGGGATCGTCATTTTCGTTCAACTTGATTAAGAATCGTTGCTACCAATTCATTAAAACGTTAATTTTTTGCAAGCGAGCAAATTTCTATTTGTGGAATTTAGTGATTAAATGATTAAATGGATCTCTTCGATGAAAAGGAATTGATGTATAAGAAAAACGAAGCACATAGAACGAAGATTTGCCAACATCAAAAAATAAATAATAATTGTTCAAAAAAATAAAAGTAGAAAAAAATTAGGAAATTCTTTAAACTATTCAAAGCTCTTGGCTTTAATTAAGTCAAGATGGTAACTCCCTTAGGCTTTCTAATAGAAGAAAACTGTTGTTGTTTTAATTAGAATAAAAGAAAATGGAAGAGGCGGATATTATCCGTTCTTCCAAAATCCCATTGAATAGTAGAAAATTTTATTTTGTTTTTATATATATATATATGTATATATACATTATATTTATAATAAATTTGAATGTAAAGGCGGAACACGCCTCCCACCGTATTTCGATAAACAACGACAGTGGCACTTAACTAGTCTTTCACAATCGACTTGAATTTTCTCAGGACGAATAGTTAAGTCATTTGTAATGATGAACATCCGACTATCCGGTCTACTGATTGTGAGCTTCTTATTTGCCTCTAGCATTGCAGACACAACATTAGCATGTGCACAGGTAATATTTCATTTTTTAAAGAAATAATGTAAAGTTTCTTTGTTATAAACTGGGACAAAAGAAATCAAAGAAGATTATGATATTCCAATCAACTTAAGCTATAATAAGTTTAAATCAACCGTTTTAAACTATCAAATTTTTGTAATTTTTATAAATTTTATAAAAATGGTTGCTTAATTACACGTGGAGCTAGTCTAACTAAAAATGGTGAGAATTATCCGCTTATTTCTTTTACTTACTTGCTTCTTATGTTTGATTTTAAAAATTAAGAAAGATTTTGTAGATTAAAATGGAGAGCTTTAATGAATGCTTGGCGAGTTAATGAGTTCAAAAAATTCAAAATAAATTTAAGAAATTTACTTTCACATATCAAATATTAAAATAATTGTATTATTAAACTCACTTCAAACTTAATTGTATGGGTAATTTTGTGGATTGACAGTATAGCTAAGGAATAAATTTTTCTCAGAAAAAGAGAAAACTCTTTTTGCTTTGCTTTCTTTTTTAGAATACATTTTAAATTAGTTGCGCATTTAATTGAACTTTTTTTTTCATAGTTTTTATTTATTTTTTATAATTTTTAACATTGACAAAAAATTAAAAGATATAAAAGCTAATTAATTTTGCCAACTGCCCAACAAAATTAAAATGTGTAAATATTTCATCAATCATTATGGACCCTATCGTTTGGTTAGCGAAAAAAAACATTCAATATTCCCTCATGTTGCAAGGAATTACTGTTCCTTGGTGGCTCAAAAATGGTCCAAATTGATGTATTTATCATCGTAAATTTCTATTTATTTAACCTTATTTTGTCCTCAAATGGGTCTCTAGCTAAAAAAAATCTCACCCTAATCAATGGAGCCAGCGAAACCAGAAGAGGGAAAAGAAATAAAATTATTACATTCTGTAGAAGGTTTATGGCAAATTGATTAATCTTCAAATATTGCATGAATATTAATTTCGCCTAGATAATGGCATCATCTACCGATGAGAACAATCAAAAAGTGCTCTTGTGTCAACTTTACGAAAGTACCCAACTGTTAACCCAACTTGGTGTACTTATTTCTGATGGTCTTCAACGTCTTGCTTCTGCCCAAGGTATTTTTCAGCATTTATTTACAAGTTCAGCATTTATTCGATTATTACTGATTCATATAATAGGAAGTGAATAATCCAAACCAAACAAAACCTCTCTGAGTGGTAGATTGTCCCGATTTACTTCGATTTTTCTAGCAAAATTAAATTTTTCATTTAAAGAAAAATTCGAATGGTAATGAAGTGTATATATCAACAGATTTACTAAGAAGGATTGATAAAAGATTGAAAATCGAAATTGAAAATCGAATACCATAAATAAAGTAGCACAGAATTTATCAAACCGGCTTAATGGGACATATATAATAATATCCCATTATCACAAATCACCAACTATTGCAAAAAAATGAAAATGTAAAAATATAAAGCATATTAATAAAATATATAGCATATAATATAGAAAAATATACATATATATATATATATGGAAGAATATATAAGAATATATATATATATACATATATATGCAAAGAATAGTAATAATAATCAATAATTATGATAACAATTAATGATAAATTAAAAATTGAAATTTGAAGGAGATAATTTATACGAAAAGAAGCAAAAAAAGATTTTTTTTAAGAAAGAAATTTGATTCTAACGAAGGGAAACCGAATTTTTTCATGATTTTTTGAAAAAAATCTGTGAAAATAGTTCTTTTTAATTTTTTATCAACAAAATTGATGTTTTCAACGCGAAACTAATTTGCCTTTTCCCAAACAAAAAAAAGAAGACATTTTTGAAGATTTTTAATTTTTATTTTCAAAGGCTTTAAAAATCGTTAATCCTCTAAGCGATAAGAAGCACCATACGAGCGAAAAAAAATCTCTTTTAAATCTCTCTCATTAGCATAATGATGAAATGAGAATTTTTGTTTTATTAAAGCAAATCCTTCTCGAAAAATTTTGTTCCGAAAGTTTTTGGCCTTCAAAAGTTTAAAAAACGCAATCATTTTAGCGTTATAATTTGTGTGTAAAAATAAACAACTTTCGAAAGTTTTCAACTTGAAATTCAGATTTAAATTTAAATTGAAAGATAATGAAAATTATGGTTTGAATTATTTAAAAACAATATTATTTATCACTAAGTAATTAGCTCCTTACAATTTCTTTTAGGCTCGGTGGGTTATCAGTCATTTTGTGAACCGTCAGTGTCACCTGAATTTTTTAATAACATGCTCTTGTAAGGGGAGAATCTGCTCGGTATTCCAATATCCCTATCACTTCTCATTAGACCGCTAATTTCGAAATGAATCTAATAAGGACTTTGAAAAATATTAATTGTGACAATTTACTCTTTATTCAAGACCGCAAGATTATTTCTCAATTGTCGCTTTATTTTTTTAGTGCAGCAAAGCTAGGCGTAAAGGAATTGAACACCGGTGAATCGAGTTAATGGAAAATTTGCGTTTGTTAGAATGGAAATTGATTGTCTCTTTTATCACCAGTTGACTTAAATTTTTTTGCTTGTCCCATTTAATTTTCTTAATTAAACCTTAAGCCTCATGGTGCTAAATGATCAATGTTTCATTCGCTACTCTTATCACTGCTCTTACTGGTTGGTTTGCTACTTATAATTCACGAATGACATATTGTTTATAAGTCACGAAGATTTTCTATCGTTACTGCAAAAATTTAATACTTCGGTAAGACCGCCCAAAATCACGAATTCTTAAAATGATGCAATATGACGGGAGGGAAGGATTTAAATGAACAGCGATATATAATCGCTTCTTAAAGTCGCTAGGGATATATTGTGTCTTCGCAACGCAGAAAATTTAATTAACATTTTGGTATTTCTTAGACAGTGGCTAAGGGATGAATCCTCTACAATTAATTAAAGCTCAAAAAAGCAGAAAATAAGTGTGGATACGCGAGGTTATTTCATTTGCCGTTTGTGGATTTGTTTATTTTTTGAAGGTTTAGAAGAAGATTAAGCACACTGCTATTAATTTAGAAATGCATTGACCATATTTTGTTAATATTCTTTAATTTTCGAACGAAGACCACTCAATAAATTTTTTTCTCATATGGAGAGCTGGTTTTAAATACCAAAGTTATTTTAAGCTCATATTTTATATAGTAAAGGACTGCACTGGATCTTGCATGCTGATTTACCTCGCAATTTCTTGTTTTCTAGCCTTATCATTTCCTTATCAGGCTAGCTGAGATCTTTCCCAGAAGTTAAATGAGGATAGAGCTAGAGTACCACTAGAACATTTTACCATTTATGATTCAGTCAGACGACAGAGAGTACTAATAAAGATGGCTATAATATCCCTTGCTTTTTGTGACACTGCATAAGTGTTCTAACTGATCAATCGATAACAGATTATATATTTAAAATATTCAAACCTCCAGAAATTTGTTGTAATATTTGATGTGGTTATCATTGATAATTTTCTTTGGCCTTTTCTTATTTTATTGCTGACTTTGGTCATAATATAGAATTTAATTGACTGATCAGTTAGGATAATTAATTAAATTTACTGGGAACATGACAGTGGATGGTACTGTCGTTCTGCTTGTGGTTCTATCATCAAGTGAATAGTGGTTGAGGCTACCGTCTTATCAGATTTCGGCTTCCGTGTGAATCTGCCATTCTGGGTGCTGCTGGTCGCACACCTATCATTAAGTGATTCGGGCAAGAATTTATTTACTAATAGCGAATAGGACTAGTTTAATCAGAAATGAATTAATAAATTTTTTTATTTATTAAATTAAAAAATTTAAAAAATCCACAAAATATTAACAAAACTTTTAATAAAATACCGTTTACAACCTTTACAATCTTTCTAAACTAAAATTATTTCAACCAACAAAATTTTTTAAAGAGTTAAAACAACTTAAAAAAGATGATAAAAAGTTAGTTAGAAATATTAATGCTCTCACATGTCAGAGATTTTTATTTATTGTTGACGAATTATTCGATAAAATTTTTCATTTTTGCTAATGTTTATCCTGCAATCTTAAGAAAAATTATTTGTTACAAACCCAATTCAAATTCTTTTATTTGCCTAAAGAAGTATTTTAGCAAATCCACGTAAGCAAAGCGAATAATTTATTATACGTCGAAGTTCAAGTTCATAGTGAGTTTGAAAACTTATAATTAAAAAAAAATATAAATGCGATAAACTAATCGAGATTTGTATCTAAACAGTTAAATATAATAAAAGAGAGATTAAATCTTTATTCGATATATCTCACCACCTTATCATAGTTTTGGAATTCACTTCTTAGGTCGGCAACCGACCTAAGAAGAAGCGTCGGTAATCGACGCTTAATACTTTGAGAAATTATTTTAGCGTTATATTCATGCTTATCAAATTTTAACAGAACTGATATTTATCGCCTTTTTGTTGAATTTTTTCCTTCAAACTATTTTGTATAATATTAAATAATCGAATTATTTATAATAAATGATAATATATTGTAATATTATATAAGATATATGATAATATGATATATGATATATCATAATATTATATATATCTAACATATAATAAAATATATTTATGATATATTATAATATAATTAAATTATATTAATATTCGAATAAATTTTTGATCAAAATCCACAGACTTGCAAAAAATTGTGAAATTGTGGTGTAAAATTCATGGATAGTTCTTTATAATGGGCATCTAATGATTTTTTAAGCAAATAAATCAGAGTTACTGGGTTACTATTTATTCACTCAAATTAACCATATTCTACGGAATCCCCAACAAATATTTTCAATTTTTTTATCTTTGTTGCACAAATTAATAAAGCAGATCTAAAAAAAATTGAAAATCTTCTTAAGTATACAAAATTAGATGAAAAACAGAAATGATTGATGGCTTTCATCCAGGGAGAATATTTCCATGCTATTCTTTATTTCATAATCAGTTGTTTTATTTTTTATGCTTTGTCTAATGTCGCATTTAAAACGCAGAAATCCTTAGCAACGTATCTTATTGTTTCACCATTGTTTTCATATCTACTGCTGTTTCACTTCCTCTTTCTTTTATATTTGATGAATGCATTTTATTTTTATTCGGCACACTGGATTAAAATAACAAATCAAACAAAAATCAGTCTTTTGGTCAAGCACATCTTAAAAAATATCAGTAAAAATTATTTTGGCTAAATTTTAGTGAGGCTGATAATTTTTTTGGAGGAAAATATATTTGAAGTATTTTTAAAAATTTAATTTTAATAGAAAAAAGTTAGGCTAAAAAAGCTTTGCAATACAATTAGCATTTTATAAAGTTCTGCCCCATTTTGCAGTTTTTTTTGAAGAGCGCTCGCCATTTCTCGTTATATTCACTCCACTATTATGTTAAATGAGGCAAATTTTGCTGGCGAATGGATAGAAGATGGGTCGCCAGCGGGATTCGGATTTCTTATGAGACAGGTTTACTCCTATAGGGAATATAACGACAAAATTAATTCTTCAGAGTGAAAGCAAACTGTACCATTTTATGTCTCTTGATAATTGCTATCAAATATTTTAGGATTAGAGACTGAAACCGAAATTGCTGATGATGGACAATCAATTGAAAAGAGGAAACATGAATATCTTCGATTTGGAAAAAGGAAGCATGAATATCTGAGATTTGGCAAAAGGAAACACGAATATTTGCGATTTGGGCGCAAATGAATTTAATGGAATTGTGGACACAAATTTTCATTTAAATCTTATTCGATTGTGATGTTTGAAAGAAGCAAGAATGATAATATAATAAATTTATTAAATTTAATAAATTTAACGAAACAGTTATTTCGTTTTAGCGTTAAAAATGTTAATTTTGCCAATTTAAAATTTTTCAGAATTCCTTTCTATAAGACTTTGAATTTTGCCATTATTTAATTTCTCATCCTTTATCCTTTTTTTGTAGTTTATCTGCTAATCCAACAGATTAACCATTACTATTACTTAGCTGAAAACACAAACTGTATGCAAAATTTCTTCTGAAAATTCGATCATTAGGAAATTATTAGGAACTAATCGAATTTGTTCGACCCATTAACTAAAACTTTGCAATTTGTCAATAAGAAGTATGACTGAATGTAAAAAAGACAGATTTGAAGAATTCTCCTCAAATGATTAGAACTTTCTTAGAAATTTTTTCCTAATTTCTTAGCTTGCATTTTTTTGCCATTTTTTCAAAAGGGAACCTTATTTTGCATCTTTTTCAATATTCTCACGATATAATGCACATCTAAATGAATAGCGATAAGCTAAACTAAAACATTTAGCATTTAGTAGGGTTTATATCCAAGCCAAAAGATAAATTTTATCTGATTTTTTAAAATGATCTTAAGGCTTACTAAGTGATTTCGTTTAATTTGATACTATCAATTGGTATGTATGCAATCTTATCATCTTCATGTACAGCCGGATTCTCAAATCTTTACGTAAATAAAAAGATGAGCAAGTGGAACTGGCCTTCAAATTAAGTTCACTTGAATCTGGACTTATCAATAATCAGGTGTCAAAAAAAGCATTAAACATTAAAAATTAAATTAAAAATAAAAAAATTTTCACAAAAATGCAGATAAAACCGCAAAAATCCATTTATAAATGCATCATCGAATAAAATGGCATTACAATCAGGAAAAAACAGAATTTTGAAATATTAAATTTAAAGAAAGGAAAATCCAGAGAACGGATGAAAATAGATAACGTGGATATTATAAAGTGGCTCATGGATATTTAAAAGCATGTGAGATGATAAGAGAGGGATAAAAAGTATTTTAATTATGATTATAATTATAATTATAATCATTGAATCAAAGCCTTGAACCATATTGGTATTGTGAACCATATTTATTGCTTCTTGGATTGAGAATCTTTTCATTCATAATATTCAAGCAGAACAATGCCAGAATGCCAAGGAAGAGTGCAACAATTATACCAGCACAAGCCTAAAAAAACTTTTTTCCATGGTAACGAATTTATCTAAATTTTTTACCAAAAAAATTTTTATCCCTAATTTGATTTAGGTCTTGCTTATTTGCTGATTAATCTAACATATTGTTTACTAATTGAACGAAACATTGCGTTCGAAAATTTTCAATAGAAAAATCAAGAAATTGGCATTTTCTAATGATCCTGGTCCATAACAATGTATCCTCTATCCTCCTCTCCCATCGTCTATCCTTAACAATAATTTATCTATCAATTTATCTATTCAATAAAGAGGTTCCTTTGCCACAGCACTACTTTCTCAATTGCTAAAAAAAGTCAGCAATTAGTCAAATCAACAAATAAATAATGAATATGGTACTGGCTATGGTTTTCAAGATAAAATATGATAAAATATTAAGAAAATAAACCGCCATCCAGCCGAACACTTCGCCAGTATCAATAATTGTTCTTTGAGAAATTGTGCCTCCAATTCCGCAAACTAACATCCATCCAATCATTCCAGCACCGCAGAATATTACTTCCTGAACATTTTTACATATACATTTATGTATTATATAAAGGAATAGCACTCGCCATTTCTGATTTCGATGTTGTTAGAAATTTTTATTAGAGAATCACTTCGCGATGAAATGAAAGTAGGTCCAACCGAAACTTTTAATGGCGAGGGTGAGGAGAAAAAACCTTCCTATATGTAGCATATATAAACATATATAAAAAATTCGTCCTTTATAGATGGCATTATCCTTAACCTCAGATCATCTACCAGAGGCTTTTCACATCTTCTCCACTTTCTCTTTCAGCTTTAGTATTTCTGAATTTCTTATATTCCTTCTTCCTGATATTCCTGTCACATGGCACTGCTATATCCATCTTCAGTGTCGACTTCTTGTTCCTATCTAAATCTAACATTTTCCCGCCAGACAGTTTCTCAGGCTTAGCAGTCTAATGGATCCTTGCTTCAATGGATTTGGTAATGGTACTTCTTTTTCTGCTAACGTTTTCTTCTATGCTGCCTTTTAAAATTTAGGTTTTTCCACTACTGGCAGGATTTGTTAATGCCAGCCATATCACTACCTGTTGATGGTACATAGAGAGTTTTGTTTTCCCATGGCACTTCCTCTGATTCACCTTTCTCCAATATCTGTTAATAGTTCAAGCATTCTTTCAGCAGCTGCCATCTATCTGATATGCCTCCGATATTACCAAGCCCACTCACCTTCTTTCATGCTGGTGTACAATCTTTGGATATTGGACTTGGGAAGTGGAAATTTTCTTGCACTATAAAGAGTTCCCGGATGTTGACATCGGCAATGTTCCTTCCTTTGCCCATTTTACCACATCAGCAACTGACGGCTGAAGAACCACAGTTTTTTTCACTAGGTTGGCTCTTCAGGATTTCTTTTACTCTTTGGTGATACTTAGATGTTGCACTCTTTCTTGGCTTCTTCATCGTTGCCAAGTGACTATGGGATACCAAGGTGCTTATAGCTGGTTTATATGCCTGGTAAGCGCACCCAAAGTCATTGCTATTTTCCCCTCTCTTTACTACCATATGACCACATTTCTCCAAACTGAATGACATCCCAATGTCCTCGCTGTAGCTCCACGTTAGATGAATGAGGGAGCCAATATCTCATTCTTTATTAGCATATAACCTGATCATCCAAGTAATGAAGATCATTGACATTAGATCCTTTTAAATTTGTGTCCATTTCCATTCTTTGTAATAAGTTGGAAGTTGAAAGAGTTAGATCAATGCAAAACAGTAGCAGGAACAATGCATTACCTTGATATGTATACACATGTTTTGAATTGACTTCAAGTATCGTTTTTCACTGAGTTCTGGATAAAAGCCTTTAGGATCCTGTTGACTTTGTATAGAAACGAATATTTATATATCCATATGTGGTGCATCAGTCATAAACTTTCCTATAGCCAATCCCAGCAGCACAGATTGGCGTGTCGTGATTTTGAGTCTTGAGCAAATACTATTTCTATGAGCTGCTGTTGTTTTGAGCCTCTGCTTTTGTTCCCAATTCTCTTTTAATCCTATACCGCTTTTTATGATCTCGTATCTTCCTATATGTATAACAAAACTTTAGTCAGATGGTTTATTAATTGGAAATCATCCATTTTGGTTGAATTGATTTGAAAATAAACAATTTTAATTATTTTAACCACATTTACTTCTGCAAGGTCAACAAATTTCTTTCTCATCTGGCATTTTGATAAAGCACCAAAGGATTTACCGACGGCCGATCGCTGGCATATAGATGCTTAAAAAAAGATCAAACAAATGAACATTGCTATTTCATCTTCGAAATAAGACTGAATACGGAAAACGATGATGCAAAAACGGTAAGCAAACATTCGAAATCGAACTGGATGATGGTTAACATATTCCAAAAGCCCTTACGCAAGGAAACTAAAATCACTGCTTATGGACAGAATATTAATTAAAATATTATTCTGGAAAGTGGATTTGGATCTGTGCCAATTTATCCACTCTTTTTTTGGGAGATCGGGATGGATGCAAGATACAAGAATTCAATCAGTACTGCTTTCCTTTAGGCGACATACTACCCAACATCTAACTTTTTAAACTTCTCCTGAAAGAAAAGATAAATACTGACCGTAAGAGCGCAGTTGGTCAATGATGTCGGCCGATTATCGCTATTACTCCGCTTTTGCATGATTGCATACATAACGATTGAAACAATACAGTACAGCAAAGTTAGTGCCGCTATTATATATATGAGAACAATCTCATAATTTACGGATATATATGCCGTTGTGTATGATGGATCGAGTAGTATTAGTACAACGATCGTTAATAGCTAAAAGAATTCTTTAAAAAAAAAATATTTATTAATAATTAATAATAATAAATGATAATGATAATGATAATGATAACAATAACAATAATATCAGTTAATAATAATTAATATCAATTAATAATATCAGTATATTAATTGGTAATAATAATTAATGCTTTTAAAAATTTGCCAATAATAAAAACTAGTAAAGATAATAATGTATTTTAAAAAGTATTTTTCAACATGAAGAGTGAATTTCCTCAAATTTTCCTTAACAAATACTTTTTCCTCCAATTTTATTGCCTCTTCTGTAAGTTTAAAGATTCGCAAAATTTATATTGATGGACTATGGAACTTCATGACCAAGATTATGCGCCTATATATGGAAATTCGTGACAGCATTCGTTTTTATCCAATTATTTTTAAATCGATCAATGAATCGACTAATGCGATTGATGAGATTTAAAAACCTACTTCTGAAGATTCAACTATTTTATTTATCTACTGAGAAATAATAATCAAGCCAGTCAAACATAGCCATATACTTATATGTGGAAGAGACAATAACAAAGCAGGTCAGACAAACCATATGCTTGTATATTTTTACATATATATATATATGCATTATTTATCATAGCGCCACTTTCTTGATCTAAAAAATAGGTGACGTATGTATCGATAGGTTGTCGGTGCTTGAAACGACGATGTTCTTTTCAGTAAAAATTCGGTCGGTACAGCCAAGTCTAAATTCGGTTTGGTTAGGACGTCCTGTTGCCACGCGTTCCCATGAATTTATTGCGCAGTAGAGAGAAAACAATGGCAATAACCTTCCCAAAAACATCTAATAAGATGATTCCTCAATAGTTGTTGCTGTGCGCCCTATCTATCACATTTCTCAGGAACTGGAAGCAGAACTGCCTTGCTCCAGTCGCATGGCATTGCTCTCTTCTCCCACACCAGTGTATTGTAAAGAACGATGGACAGCATTTGAGTTCGCAGCCCATCTTCTCCGGAGATTTCACTGATCTAAACTGTGAAATAAAAAGATGATCTAGTGATCTGCTGGTGGCTGGCAGTTGCATTCGTACGGCTCTCGTTCCAGTCATATCCGGAACATTAGACCGTCATAGTAAATTCGGGAGAGGCAATATTTGATGGTCTTAACGAGATTTTCACTTCTATATCGAATAATTTCGTTGAGCATGTTTCAAGCTACAGCTGCCCTGAAAAATAGGCGGAATAATTTTCGACGGTTACCTACTCGAGCTGCTCTCTGTGTGTTCAAAGCCATTTTTGTTACATTTCTAAGTGATTGCGAAGCCACTGAAGTGCTAGCACTTCCTGAGAGGCGCGCAGTACAGTTGGACAGCTGTATCCAAGTTGTTCCTTTCCAAGTTGTATGACCTCACGCAGATTTAAGTGAATCCTGGAGACTCAACTGGGACCAAAACACCTCGACTTGGAGATACTAAGGAGCCATTAAAATCTTTTTTTTCTGAATCTTTTAACTTGAGAAAGTCAACAAATTTTGGAGGATGCTATGCGTCGAATCTTCACTCTAACTGCAACGTGGACCCGTGAAATTCCGTTTCGGCTTCTTATGCGTCCAAGTCTAAACTTTTCCATCTGACCAAAACATAATCGATCTGATTCGAGTGTCTGTTGTATGGACAGTAACTAAATGTTTTCCGCAACATTATATTTTTACATTATATAAATTATATTGATCGCAAAGAGCCCATGTTTTCTAGCAAAGCAGAAATGATGGTTTCAGTTGGCACAACGGGTTCCACCGCCATATTTGCCAGCCATAGAGGACGGATGTCGCGTTTTATGCACGCATTCCAATTCTCTCCCGCTGTCACGGTTACATTATTTTGGAACAGATGCTATCCTTTCATGCAGGACATCGCAAAAGAATTACACTAATAACCGAAATATGACAAAACCTTACCTTTTAAGAGATCACCGATCATTAGGAGGGTTCGATACGATTAGAGACCTCGTTTCTCCCTTAGTTATCAAAAACACCACCGACTCAGCCAGCAGCTCTCATCCAACCTTTCGACAAGCAATCAATGTGAGAATTGGACAAGGCGTGGATGGCTATCGTCTGACTCCTTAGAGATTAAGTGAATATCTCTAACAGGAATAAATTTCATCAAATTTGCTTACAACTTTATTGCACAGTTCTGCCTAATTTTCTCATATTCTTTCATATTTTTAACAAATATTTTTAAAAAAATGAAGAATTAGCGAAGATAGTGCAGAAGAGAAAATAAAAAGCAAACTTATAACAATCCTACAAATTAAATGTAGCAAGAAAAATTATTTTTTAAAACCAATATTTTTCGCAGCAACAGTTTCACTAACATTTTTTCGCCAAATCCCATCTTTGAAAATTCTATTCAAAATTTACTCCACTGAGGATCTCACTTTCAAGCTTTTTCTCGCAGTAGTGCTCATAATTTCTGGCTTTACGGGTTCAAACCGCAAAACCACAGAGAAACAGTTGTGAGCAGACGTGGATCTCCACAACCCCACTCAGAGAACGCTAACTGAACCCACATACTTGAGCTATTCCGCCATCCTCCAATACAGAAAAAGGAAAATTATGAAAAAATGTGCACTAACCACGATAACTATTTTTATAGCCGCACATACAATAAGCTGCTGTAATATAGCCATAGTCTTATACGAAATACCTCGTCAACACGACTAAGAGTGTAAAATGTGGGAGCGACTTTGGTGCTGATGGATGGTCGGATGATTCAATAAGCAAACACTACACGTATCACCAATCGAAATATTTCCACTATCGTTTTCCCAATTTTTGTTTACTTGCTTACTCCCTTATCGATATTGTACAAATATTTAAGGCCGCTTTAATAAAATTTCCACCAGTCCACCATTGTTCCATTGTCCACTAGAAACAAATTTATATTACAGACAATGATTGGATTCCACTCATTTAGCTCTATGATTACTGCTGAAGCTTTCTTAAGTACAAATGGAGAGTACGAAACAAATTCTTTAAAAACCATATTTTGCCATCGATTGTTCTCAGCGTCCATTGTGAATCATTTAGAATTTTCATTAGGTTAGTAAGCAAAAACGATACAAAATTTTATTTGAAATTTTTATAAAATTTTATTTGAATTTTATTTATTTGACTGAAAAATACCAAAAATTTTTTAAAACATGCGAAAATTTCAAAAGATCAATAAAACTTCAGAAAATCGTAAATAAAAAAGGATGATTTCAGGTAATTAAAACAACCAATCATTCGTTAAGTAACTGAAAATAAGTATAAAAATTTAAAATTGCAAACGTGGTAAAATACTTCTCACTTAATTAAAAATTCATCGATGGAATATGCGTAATTACGCACACAATTAAAAAGCCGATTCCAAAATTAAATATTTTCATACTTATATCTTTTGAATTTAAAACATAAAAGGAATGAGATAAAAAAGATAAAAGCAATAATTTTTTAAGTTCAATTGACAGTTGGACATAAACGACATGTGAAAGCGATTAAATTGTGCACAATCAATCGAATAATTTGGGGACAACTAGGCGATGAAACTGTTTTTTCCAGAAAAACTCGCAAATGATAAAACGCCATTCTAAAATAAACGTTTTTTATATTTTTAACTAGTAAAAGAATGCAAATATTCTATCGTATACAACGTTATAAATTTTTATGAATATAAATATAAATAAATATAAATTTTTTTATAAATTTTTTATAAATTTTTTTAGAACCCTTTGGCTACAGAAACAAGGGATTTATACGAGCAATACTCGGATTTAACTTTTAAAAACAAGTTTTCTCATACTGAAGGGCAGAAATTTATGATGACTTGATCTTAATCGAAGCAAGATATTGTTTAACAAGGTATTGTTATTGTTTTATTTTTAGGCATTGTTTATTATACTGGATTGCTACAAAATTAATTCGTTATGCTGGCACTCTGATTAGACGATTAGATAACATTTCATATTATTTTAGCCCTTTTAAAGGAGCAATATCATGCATTCAAAGATATTTTTGGACAATTTTTTACAATGATTTTTTAATCTGGACAAAATCTGATTCCTAACACTGACGAATTCATCAAAACAAAGTAATAAGAAAATCGATAAAAGCCACATTAAACTAACAAAATAGGATAGGCTACTTTATAGAGAAACCAATCAGAAACATCTGAATTAAAATCAAAGGAAATATATACCTTGTTGAAGCGTTTCTACGTGATAAATATCGCAATGTCAAGAAACGATAATAAACGAATGGATGAAATATTGATGCTTTTCCACTGAAACAAACAACTTTCATTGAAATAAATGTAATTACTTTCATTGAAATTATGGAAAAAATAAAAGAAAAATAAATGTTCAAACCGACTGAAATTGTAAAAACATACGCAAAAATCATAACGACCAATATCGGCATCACAAGTATCTCAGAACATGCGATTACATTAAGCATATTTTGAGTATTAGCATTCGTTAATTCAGCAATTTTTCGGATCGCTGCATTACTACCATTTCCTATTGCATTGAACAATTGCACAATGAAGCTACAAGCATTTAATAATGCATATAGAAAGACTGGTACCAATGCCACTAAAAACTATAAAATTTATTTTGGAAAATTACTTAAAATATATGCAAAAAAACTGGAGAATCTATTCAAAATATGTGAGCAAAGGATAAAAATAACAATTAAAGAAAGTATTACTTGTTACAGGACTGACTGTCAGGAAAAAAAGAGAATAAAGAAGATAATGACAAGAATCTTCCACCAAGATCCGTCCAAGAAATTCACGAGAAAATTGAATTGCACCAACTCGCTGATGAGCTCGCAATGCATTTGTCGCAGCAGCTGAAAAAAAAAACTTAAAGGATGGTACGTAATGTTTTAAAAATTAAAAGATCATAAAGCTACTTGATTGAAACAAGGATTTCCAATGAAAAGAATAGAATATTTAAAAAATTCGCCAGTCACAAATTTCACAAAATGGATCGTATTAAAATTCTGCTTTCAAATGGTTCTTGGAACAAATGGGTATCATCCTAATAGTCAATAAAGCCAATCAAACTAATAATAATTGCCAGTAAAACAATGAAAAGAATAATTTAAACGAACCTGCAATGAAAACTTTCGAGTACGCAGCAGTTTGTGCGCTACGAGAACCAATAGGTAAAATGTAATAAATTGCACAAACAACAGTTACCACTCGTAATAAGCATAAAATACTTTCAGTTGATCGAGATTTTATAAAATCCTTAAAAAAGGCGAAAATAAAATATTCTCGAAAGCATTAGATAATTAATTACGACCATAAATCTTCATAAAAAATGACTGATACGAAAAAATAAAATTTAAGGAAGAAAAATAAAATTTAAAATAACTGAAAGGATTAAAATTACATAAAAATTACTTTTTTTAATGTAATTTACTTATATATTTACTTGTTACTTATATATTAATGGTATCACCAATATTATATTAAAGACCCCCATTTATGGTATTAACTGTAAAATTTATTATTCTCATGACAGATCGGATAATTTGTCTCCACTATAAGTTGAACGCAATAGAATTTTCAAGTTGTTTTAGTATAGCGTAAAATATAGCTTTACATATAAATTCGAAAGGATTCGATCTTCCTAATTTTTTTATTAATGGCAATATAATTAGACGAGCTACGAATATCTTAGATCTTGGCACAATTATGGATGAAAACCTTAACTTAACTGCAGAACCATAGTAAAGAAATCTTCAAGAATACTAAATTTTTTTCGCTCATTTACAAACAGAACTGAAAGCTTTTTTATTAAAAAATGAAGCAATGCATTCTTTAAGCCTCTTACTGAATAAAATATAATCTGTTAATTCCTAGACTGCAGAAAATCAAGTAAAATGATTTAAGGACTCCAGAAATATTTCATAATCGCCTCTTTTCTAATAGCAAGTTTAATTATAAAACAGGACTTCAACTATATAAATTCCCCTCTCAATCCTGCGAATCAAACAAAATTGATTTATACTTACAAAATTCTATATGGTTATGTCAAATCAGAATGTTCCAGTTATTACAATTTCTGTTTAAATTTCAACCTAACAAGATCTAATGGGCTAAAATTATTGAGACCTATTTGCAAAACTAAACTAAGAACACTTTTGCAACATTTTTTCATTCGACACTTTTTAAGCTGCCGAACGATATAGTTTGTGCGCCATCCGTAATTACTTTTGAAAAAAAGATAAATAAAATTATTTATGATATTACTTAAAAACTCCATATTATACAGGAAATTTCAAATTATAATCTTTTATCATCCGATTATATATTATCCAATTCAATACCTTCAATTCGAATTACGCTATTTTGCAACTCCTCTTTATTTCCTCTTTACATTGTTGGCTTATGTCTTATTTCTTTTTGTATTTTTATCACAAATTTGTTATTCTATTTGTTACTACAAGGACATGGCGCTTGTCGAGCCACTTAGCTAATTTCAATAAACAATAGACAACAAAACAGAATTCATTTAAAAATAAGAATAAAAAAACTTTAAACAAATTAAAAAAATTAATTAAAATTTTGAAATTAAAAAATTAAAAATCAAATTAAAATTAAAAAATTGAAAAACAAATGAAAATAAACAAGAAAATAAAAATAAAGTGATGGAATAGAAAAAACCAAAAAATAATAAAATAAAAAATAAAAAAATATTTAAATCTGCCGATGCAACACTTTTCATTGGGCTATAGTGCTGCCTAACGAAGAAAAATAAAAGAGTAAAATAGCTCAGTGAATTGTTGCTCAATTCGGAGCGACGAAGCAAAGGTTCTATTCCCGACAGTATTAAAACTGTCCAAATATCCAGACGACGACTCACCGGTACTTTTATCACCAAAGGACACTCTGGAATATCTAGCGCGATAAGTGAAAAGAACAAGCCTAAACATTAATGGTGGGCAGCAGTAATGTGTGTTAAAAAAATATATTTGAAAAAAAGAAGAGAAGGAAGCTGGATTTACAAAACCATGGAATCCTGTCGAGACAACAATGGTTTGGCCTGAAATCTTGCGTCTTTTTTTTTAGTGACTCCCACCACTGCTGGTTTGGTTTCCCTGGTGACGAAGGTAGAATATTTCAAATCTTCCCTGATCCTTTCAGATTTTGATTGATTCCCTACGTTTTTGAAGCTCATTCATCACAGCCAATATATGGCCAAACCAGCGACCAAACCAACCATCCTTTGCGATATTCTTAACGCAGATGGTGTTCCAGTGAAGATGGATATGAATACAATTGACGAGTGTGTACGATATATCCTGGGCAAGAAAAGAAAAGAGAGATCATTATCGTATTCAAAGCTTGTGATACCATGTTCGAATCATTTGCACTGATTTGTAAGCAATGTTCAACTCTGGCTATCCTATAGTTGAAAATTGTAGGAAAAAGAATTATAAAAAAAAAAAATCCTTGACTCACATAGCGCCAATAAAATGCTAATAAGTCTAATTATCTTCTCTGGAAAAAATCACATCATTACTTCTTACAACCTTGCTAAAAGAAGCAAAAGTAAAAGCAAATTAAATGGAGCATGTAATTATTATAGATTATATTTGATACGATGTTTTACATTTTCAGCAAGAAAATTTGATTAGTACAACCACATCCTGGCTTAGTTAGAACGCGTTCAACATTACTAGAAGCACCTAGCAATCTAATTCCATATTGTCGCAATGAATTCTACCAATTTTTTAGGAAGAAGCTGCCTTGCTATATTTACAAAGCATTTGCTTCTTCTTCCATACCAGGAAATAAATATGACTGCAGGCATTTTGTGAAGAATGCTGGGCAGCATTTGAAGGTTCAATCCGCATATCACTGCCAGAAGTTTTATTGGATTAAAGTTTATGAATATTACCTCACGCTCAATTGGTATTTCGCAATCAGTCGTACCACTTTAAATGCGCTTCAATCATATCCGGAATAGTGGATGAGCCATCGCTTAAATTTAGATTCAAAGAATTCTTTCCAAAAAGTGCGAATGTGGAAAGCCTTAACGAAGTTTTCAATCTTATTTCGGATTACCTCACTAACCATTTCTAGGTGTTGAAAATTTTATTTTGATGATTGCCAACTTGAGTTGTTATCTCCATTTTCAAAGTCATGTTGTTCAGCATCCATTTTTGTCCCGCCTCATTGCGATTGTTAACAGCCTGCGAAGCCACTGATAGCATTTCCTAAAATGGATAAAGAGTTGGATCGTTTGAAATCCAACCCTGCTTCCGAGCAATGCATTCTAGAGCGAATATAGATTCCTGGGTACGCGATTCCAACTGGGATCACCACAGTTCCATAGACACTTATTAAAATCCTTTAAGGGGTTTAAGTACTCCAATCAGAAATAAAAAATTCCCAAACCTTTTTACCTGAGACAGTCAAAAGTTTTTTCTGCATTGTCAGTTTTATTCCAATCTTGGTTATACTCATAGCATTGCCCAATCCAATCAATTCTGGATCTGCATATAGGCGGCCATCTAGCGTTCTTCCATTGATAATTGATCAAAACATACATAATCGATTAGATTTGAATGTATAATGTCCATCAAATTAAACCTTCTTAAGTCTTTTGCAATGCTGAAAGCGAAAAGACTGGTGGCAAAAAGCCCATGCTCCTCAAAATCGATGAGAAAAAAGATGCACTTCTTTGGCACATTTGGTCCACGTCATGTCTACTGACCGCAAAAGATAAGAAGTTATACGAGGGTGTTAGAGTCTCCTATGTCAGTAACTGAACCATCTTTTGGAAAAGCTATTAGCAAGTCCAGCTCAGCAAAGAATACTCTTTCCAGATCATCCAAGCAAAAAGCATAAACACTGACGACTAAAATATTACAAACGAATGAAGATTAACCGACCTAAAAGGATTCCATATTATTACAACTGATTGTGTCTCTTTAGATAAGACAATCGCGACTCCATTTCTGAGTTATCTGAAACATTATTATGATACAACCAGTGTTTCTTCGAAATTTTCAGAATTTGGAAGGCGAACGCGCCCTATTAAATGGCAAATGCTCGAACTGAAATGCAGAAAAATTGCGCTTTTGCTATATAACAGGAAACTTAAATGATAAAGGGTAAATTCATAAAAATTCACAAATCTGAATCGGCTATGCAAACATTAAAATCAAGACTGATGGAATCTGCAAAATATAATACAAATGAAAAACCATCTTTCTAGAAAGTTTTAAGGATTTTTTATGGCGTTAATATATAGGTAAGGACCCATTCTTTTTTGAGGGGAATTCCAGTGAATCAACCAATTTACTATTTGTCTTTATTTGTCGTTTAACCTTGCTTAAGTAGTAAAACAATCTATTTTGCTGACTTCATAATGTAATATATTAGATTCATAAAGAAAAACGGCCAATATCTGTCGGAACCGAAATGGCGCTTTCCCAAACTTAAAATCAAGAGTTAGCTATCTAATCTTTCAGTCATCTAACAAATATTTTTTTTTTTTTATTTCTTGCAACTAATTTGTAAAAACCTTATGTAAAAATCTTGAATACAATCATGAGAAAGTTGTACATCCGACATTTTTTATATGTAATTTCCCTTGTAGGTATGAGAACACTGTCAATTTTTAAAGATCTTTACGCTTGATTGCAAAAAAAAAATCTCTTTACACTTCCCTTAAATAAACGATAAGGAATGATACTAAGGGTCAGCTTTTTATCTTTTGCTTCATTCGTCGGGTCTGTATCATTTGCGTTATTGTTGATACCAGTTTTGACACACGTCCTTCTTTCTATTTTTCAATTCACTATATTAATATCTACATATTATTTCGCACTTCGTTCTATTATATTGGTATCTGGGCATTAATAAAACCTACAACTAGCCGTACATTCTGAGTCCAATTTCTGAAACCATCAAAGAGTATGCAAAGTGACTCCTTTCAGAAATTTTCTCCTTCTGAATTAACAAAACTTTTCATGATAGTATATAGGAAATTTTCAAGCAAAAAAAAGATATTCGGATAATTTTGAATAGGACTGATAAAATTCGATGGAAATCTTCCTTTTCCCCTTAAAATCCCTCAAAAATATAAAAGAATATAAAAAATGAAAATGCAAAATGAGCGAATCACAAAATTTTGATAAGAAATTCGGTCAGTCCCATTCTAAATTCACCTATCTGGCTCCTCTCATATTCTTCTCTGGTCTTCTACAAATACACACACCAAAATAATAAAATAAACCTAAAAAATATCG